TCCGACTTCCTTAAAAAGTCTGTTGAGGAACCTCTTGACTTTCCGACGTAGCTCGGGAAAAGTTTAATGAGATTTAAAAGTATCTTTTCGGAGAAAGAAGACCCTTTGTACTTAAGATTCCAGATATTAATAAACATTTTGCGTAAGACAAAACTGATGCCTCCAATACTGGCTTCTTATGGTGCGGTGTTACTACATACCATGATGGTACTCCCTTCCCTGTGGATGCTTCCTAAGCCGAACTCCTTCCCACAGGAAACGAGAGATACTTACCATAGGAAAGGAATGTTTAGCCTTGTGTGGGGTATCTCCAAATTAAAATTTTATTTGCCTGGGAAAAGAATTCATTTTAGGAAACGGACCACAAACCTTTGAAGTTATACCTAGTACTTTAAGGGACCAACAGTCGCCCTCTTGAGGTGGACATTGGCACTCCCAGGCTTTTAAGTTCCATATTGTGTATATCAAGGGTTCATCCAATTAGTTCTCTGATGGTTAAGTCCGTGACAGTCAGTAGAAGATTTGTTGCCTTACACGACTTCTCATGTTAGAATTTTTTCCTCACCTATTCTTCTTATACTCCCTTGGTATTATATGTCTTGGTAAGGGGGAGTGTGAGGGAAAAGTTCAATAGACTAGGAGTAGCGAGGGAGTATATAGTAACATATTTTTCATTGTGGCTACTTGTTAAGGTAGGGGTAAGTTAAGCTCCCGCTATTCCCGCATCTTTTTTCCCAACCCCCGAAAGTCGATAGTTTAACGGCCGGGCTGCTTTTAAGTTTAGGGTCATGTCTACGCTCCGCTATCCCTTCTCCTCCTCCCTCTCCCCCCCCGAAAGGTGAGTGTGGGGCGGCTCTGTCAAACAGTAATCCACTGACTACAGCTCCCAGCATACGTAAGTACATGCCTGCCTTGTATTCTAGTGGTGGATTTATGGGTTGAAAGATCACTTTTGACCAATAATAAAACTTAGTCTTTTCAGCCTTTGCTCTTGTTGACTGTTGTAATATCACCACATCTTTTGAGGTATTGTACTTATATGGAGAGTCGATTATTGTAAGCAGTGGGTAACCTGTTCTATCTTTTCAGCTTGGATGACAGAGAGGGTCACCTGTCAATAAACGAGAAGATGCTGGAGATGGACTACACGTCCAGAGACTTCCTTTTTGAATTTAATTACCTGTGCACCTGTATGAAATTGCAGGACGTAACCCCTCATCATTGCAGCGGTAAAGAACCTGACTTTCCTCGTCATCAGGATTAAATACACAGGCTAACTGTGAAGAACTAGCCAGTGGGTCATAACCCAACACCTGCAACATCACCCCCATCACTCAGCAACGGACTACGATTCAAACAACAGTGTCACCAACACCAGACACCCCTAAATATATTAGCGTCTTGAATTCTGTTTTCATTTATATTTTTCATTTTTAATGTTTTCTTTAATGTTGGATTAATATTTCATAATTTAAGTGTTTTATATTTTTATATTTTCTATATAATAAAGTGTTTATGTTTGTCTGTTATTATTTCTTTTTCTATTCATTAATTTCCCCTGATGATGGAGGCCAAGCCTGGTAATACTGACTGAAGTTGTTTCAGGGCTCTAGTAAGCCTTCACATCGGTTCATGGCCAGGCCGGCTGTGGCTCTTACGTTGTTTGGTGCAGCCAGCAGCAACAGCTGGTTGGTCAGGCTCTGATCCCACCAGGAGGCCTGGTCACAGGACCGGGCCAGCGGGGGGGTTGACCCCCAGAAAACTCTCTCCAGGTAAAATCCAGGGTCACCCTGCCTTAGTGTTGAGACGGGCCGGTGTGTAGTAAATAATATTATATAATTATATCGCTACCTTTATCTGGAAAGTATCCCTGGAGAGGGTTTTTGGGGGTCAGTGCCCCCCACCAGCCTGATCCTGTGGCAGGCTTCCCAGTGGATCTGGGCCTAATCAAACCAAGCTAGTACTGCTCGCCGCACGAAAACCAATGTATTAACCACAGCGCGGACTGGTTCAGGTTTGACCTTTTAGGTGGTTGTTCCAGTGCCTTCTTGGAAAGGACAGCCAGGGATCTGTTGGTATTCCCCCTTTATGTATGCTGGGAGGCATTTGAAATGTCTTGAGCCCCTCTGACATTATGGTGATGTCTCTCGTGGCACCCTGTTGTTCATTGAAGGGATGTTGCAATATCTGCCAAATCTTTCCACTTTCATAGTAAGTGATATTTGTGTGCAGAATTTGGTACTAATCACTCTAGGATTTTCCAAGTGTATTTTATCATGTACAGTATCTCTCTTGCTGCATTTAGGGAATACAGTTCAAGGACTTCAACTGGTCCCAGTAGTTGGTGCCTTATCGACTTATGTGTGCCATGAAGTTCTTTGTATACTCTCCAGGTCTGCAATGTCGCCAGCCTTGAAGGAGGCATTTAGTGTACAGCAGTATTCCAGCCTAGAGAGCACAGCGATTTGAGTGAATCATCATGGGCTTGGCATCCCTAGTTTTGATGTCCACTTGGAGTCTCGCGGTGTCTTCGATGGAGGTCACTGCCATGGTGATCCGGGTGTCATCCGCAAAGGAAGACACAGAGCTATGGCTTACATCTCTGTCTATGTCTGAAATGAGGATGAAGAATAGAATGGGAGCGAGTACTGTGTCTTGTGGAACAGAGCATTTTACCATGGCTGCCTGGGACTTTACTCTGTTTACTATTACTCTTTGTGTTCTGTTTGTCAAAAAGTTGTAGATCCATCTACCAACTTTTCCCGTTATTCCTTTATCCCGCATTTTGTGTGCTATTACACCATGGTCACACTTGTCGAAAGCTTTTGCAAAGTCTGTGTATACTACATCTGTATTTTGTTTATGTTCTACAGCATCCAGGACCTTGTCATAGTGGTCCAGTAGCTGGGACAGGCAGAAGCAACCTACTCTATACCCATGTTGCCCTGGGTTGTGTAATTGATGGGTATCTAGGTGATTGGCTATTTTGCTTCTTAGAACCCTCTCAAAGATTTTTATGATATGGGATGTTAGTGCTATCAGTCTGTAGTTATTTGCAATTGCTTTACTGCCACCTTTGTGGAGTGGGGCTATGTCTGTTGTTTTTAGTGTGTGTTGGATGACCCCTGTGTCCATGCTCCCTCTCCATAAAATGGTGAAGGCATGTGATAGGGGCTTCTTGCAATTCTTGATGAACACGGAGTTCCATGAGTCTGGGCCTGGGGCAGAGTGCATGGGCATGTCATTAATTGCCTCTTCAAAGTCTTGTGGAGTTAGAATAATATCCGAGATTTTTGGGATGACGAAATTTTGGGTTTCGTTCATAAAGAATTCATTTGGTTTGTCGACCCTTAGAGTGGGCAGTAGCTCGCTGAACACTGAGTCATATTGGAACTTTAGTATCTCACTCATTTCTTGGCTATCATCTGTGTATGTCCCATCCCGCCTAAGCAGGGGCCCAGTACTGGATAAGATAAGATAAGATAAGATTTCGTTCGGATTTTTAAAACCGGAGGGTTAGCCACCCTGGATAACCCAAGAAAGTCAGTGCGTCATCGAGGACTGTCTAACTTATTTCCATTGGGGTCCTCAATCTTGTCCCCCAGGATGCGACCCACACCAGTCGACTAACACCCAGGTACCTATTTGCTGCTAGGTGAACAGGACAACAGGTGTAAGGAAACGTGTCGAAATGTTTCCACCCGCCGGGAATCGAACCCAGGGCCTCCGTGTGTGAAGTGGAAGCTTTAGCCACCAGGCCATCGGGCCTTTGTTGTTATTTTTCCCTTAGATTTGGCATAAGAGAAGAAGTATTTTGGTTTTTTTTCAGTTTCCTCTATGGCTTTTAGTTCTTCCAGTGATTCTTGTCTCCTGTAAGTTTGATATTTGGAATTTCATTGACTAGTGCTTCCCTTCGTATTTCAGATATATTGACCCCACTCAGCAGCTCTGTGACTCTTCGCCTTCGTCTGTATAGGGAACGTCTCTCTCTTTCTAGTTTACATCTTCTCTTTCTTTTTCTTAATGGAATGTGTCTTGAGCATATCTCAAGAACCATAGAATTAATTTTTTCAAGGCAAATGTTTGAATCCATGTTGTTTAGGATATCTTCCCAGCTTGTTTCATTTAGGACATGGTTTACTTGATCCCATTGTACATTTTTGTTTTTGTAGAGAGAACAAGCGATTTGAAGAGAATCATCATGAGCTTGGCATCCTGAGTTTTGAAGGTTCTCATTATCCATCCTATAATTTTTCAAGCAGGTGTGGTAGATACTTTGTTGTGGTCTTTGAAAGTAAGATCCTTTGGCATTATTACTCCCCTGCCCTCATTGATCTAATGATCATCATTAATATAATAATTTTCATTGATGTCATGTCAACAATGCCATATTTGATTTCCTTGAGTTATCCTTCGTTAAATATGTATAATTTACCACTAGTATTATTATTTTTATTTTCATGGAAGTGACCCATAAGGGTTGTACAGTGCCTAGGAAATGGGAGCTAAACATGTTTGATGTAATTAAGGAAGGAAAGAACAGCTCAAATTTTTTGAATCAAGAGCCGATCGTCATCATGAAGGCGCTCCATTATGAAGGAAAGGCTCCAAAAATATAGACCTCATCAGAATCATTCATTATTTGTGGAATTATTGAAATCTTTGGTTAATATTCTTGTAGGCAACGTGCTAGTAGTTAGTTATTCAACTCATAAGCTAAATCAGTAATAGTTCAGCTTATATTAAGCTACAGCAGTAGTAGTTCGACTTGTTTTAAGCTTAAATAGTAGTAGTTTGACTCATCTTAAGCTAAAGCAGTAGTAGTTTGACTAGTTTTAAGCTAAAATAATGGTAGTTCGACTAGTCATAAAATAGTAGTGGTTCAAATTACCTTAATAAAAAGTAGTAGTAGTTCGACTAGTCTTAAGGTAAAGTAGTAAAAGTTCAAAATATCTTAATTAAGAGTAGTAGAGGAGCTGTTAATAGCGTGTCTCTCTCAGGATCCCAGAGTACCAGCTACTTTGATAGCAACATTCATGGTGCAGTACCTCTGCAGTGTTGCAATGTTTGTCACCAACTGCATCTCAGACGTTCCGTCACAGCTCCAGTCTCTCTCTCTCACTCGGGTAAGCCTTTTTAAATATTTAGATAACCAAAAATTTATTGTACTGGTATTATTGTTATTACACAGGTCAGTTTTATGGGCTGTTTTCCTACCCCAGCTTATTTCAAAAGGTCGGCTCGAGCTATCTAATCTTAAGATAGCCTTAAAGGTTGCCCGAAATGCTCTGCGTATTAAGGGACTTCCTGCATACACATCAAAATGTCATTCACCTCTGTACAAACGTTGTATCATACTTAATATTACCACCCCCCTGGCATACCACTCTAGGGACAACTACAGGACATTCTGCAGCAATTACTAGTATTAGTATAACCGTGAATATTATACTACTATTGTACAATAATAATAAAGTATATTTCTACCAGTACATGATACAACTGATACAGATATAATTGACATTATTTGTACACCATATAGTAATCCCTGGTTACGCAGGACGTTTCCGGCAACTTAATAAGTGGAAGAGTTGAGACACTTATGCAACATATGAAAATCTTTATTCAAGAAACTTTTTGCCACACAGTGGCTTCATCAGTTCAATACAAAGTAGAAATGGGTAAGGAGAGGAGGAGTTTGAGGTAATCAGTCCCTCAGCCTGAAATCGATGTGTTCAGTCCATCACTCTTGTAGGAAGTGCAGCATATTGCCAGAGAGGTGGCTTATATACTGCAGACAGGTGAGTCGAAGCAGGAGGAGGCAGGATCACAGTGGGACCTGCCACTAGTGTAAGTAGGTCGTCGTCCAAAGGTTGGACAAGCATTGAAGTCTTTGTACCAAGATCCCATGATGTTGCAGTGTCTGACAGATGTGAAGAATGGTTTTGAAAACCGACAAGTTGAAGAATTGAGACACTTATGCAACATCATGGGATCTTGGTACAAAGACCTCAACGCTTGTCTAACCTTTGGACGACGACCTACATACACTAGTGGCAGGTCCCTCCAGCACATATGTTGTGGCTGACTCTCCTTCCAGTACATATGTTGTGGCTGACTCTCCTTCCAGCAGATATATTGTGGCTTAGTTTAGTTTAGTTTAATGTGTATTATGCACCCAATACCCATCCTGTGGGCAGTAGTCAAAAGATTACAGAGGTACATAATGGGCCCAGGGACTGGGCCCCAAAGTTTTGATAGCTGAACTAGGTATAAAGGTAACTCCTCCAGCACAAATGTTGTGCCTGACTCTCCCTCCAGCATATATATGGTGGCTGACACTGCCCTGCCATGTGTAGTGTCTGTGGGGGGTACACAGTAAACTTGGTGCTCAGGAGACACAACTAACTCACTGGATGAATATAAATATGGTTTACAATACGGACAGCTTGATAAGTAAGGAACATGTTGCACTTGTCTTACTTATTAACTTATCTTTTATTAAGCACCTCATACCCATCCTCTGGGTGGTAGTCAGAAGATTAGAGGTACAAATGGATCCGAGGACTGGGCCACAAAGTTTTGATATCTGAATAAGTTACAAAGGTAATGAACTATTTTGTATGTGGTCACAGTCATGAACAAGTAACGAAGGTAGAGAACTATTTACATGTTTATATCTGGTCATAATTATAATGAGTTATTAATACAAACATTAATTTTATCGCACTCCAGTACATAACGATGCAAGGTCAAAGTTTACATTTCGTTTGGTCTACATCTGTTGGTGGTGATTTAACCTGCCGGGCTGTAGTGGCATCCAAGAGTCTGCTTATTTTGTTGGATGCACCATAGACATGTGGCTCCTCCTGCATGATAAAATGATGATAAATGAACTGACTGGTCAGTCTTCCTCAATCTTAATTCAGTAAAGTTCAGTTGAAGTTCTTTTTGTATTATTGTTCTCAGACTACTAACTGGCAATCCATTATTATCACCACCAATTTAAGACTTCTCAAAACAACCTACTCACCCTAAACTGAATACTCAATATTCAGTATTTAACTTTACCAAAAAATCTCCAAATTACCTAAATCTTAAAGCTTCAAATCTAGATGCCCAAAGTTAATACATTATTAATACTACATTGTAGTATAAACACCTACCCAAAACAATACTACCTTACACCCAATTGCAGCATTCTCAGACTGTAAACTACTTTCAACAACTTACAATGTTATATTCCTGTAATATAATTTCAATAGTTATTATTGAAACTGTTGTAATTCTAATAATGGCAACCAAGTCTCCGTCCCTGACTTTCGCTTGGCTGATTTCATAGGACTGAAAAATTACTTAGGTGGGCTGAATTGGAATGATCTGACTAAGGGTCAGGTAGGTGGTGATGGTTGCCGATATGATGCTTTCCAGGGCATAGTTCTAGCTGCTCAGTCAAATTATGTTCCAAATAGGGAAATCAGATCAAACAAAAATGATCCTAAATGGATGAACAATAGATTAAAATATCTGATTGGTCAAAAGAGAGGCATATATAGGCAAATCAAAAGAGGAGAGGGGCAATTAAGAAATCGATATATTCAGTTAAAGAGAGAAATAAAAAACGGAATTAGAAAAGCAAAAAGAGATTATGAGGTTAAAGTTGCAAGAGAATCGAAGACTAACCCAAAAGGATTCTTTCAGGTATACAGAAGTAAGATCAGGGACAAGATAGGCCCACTCAAAAGTTCCTCGGGTCAGCTCACTGACAGTGATAAGGAAATGTGTAGAATTTTTAACACATACTTCCTCTCAGTTTTTACACAGGAGGATACCAGCGATATTCCAGTAATGATAAATTATGTAGAACAGGACGATAATAAACTGTGCACGATTAGGGTCACAAGTGACATGGTCCTTAGGCAAATAGATAAATTAAAACCTAACAAATCCCCAGGTCCTGATGAACTGTATGCAAGGGTTCTAAAGGAATGTAAAGAGGAGCTTAGCACACCTTTGGCTAATCTTTTCAACATATCACTACAAACTGGCATGGTGCCAGATAAGTGGAAAATGGCAAATGTGATACCTATTTTCAAAACAGGTGACAGGTCCTTAGCTTCGAACTATAGACCAATAAGCCTAACCTCCATAGTGGGAAAATTTATGGAATCAATAATTGCCGAGGCAGTTCGTAGCCACCTTGAAAAGCATAAATTAATCAACGAATCTCAGCATGGTTTTACAAAGGGGCGTTCCTGCCTTACGAATTTATTAACTTTTTTCACTAAGGTATTTGAGGAGGTAGATCATGGTAATGAATATGATGTTGTGTATATGGACTTCAGTAAGGCTTTTGACAGGGTCCCACATCAGAGACTATTGAGGAAAATTAAGGCACATAGAATAGGAGGAGAAATTTTTTCCTGGATAGAGGCATGGTTGACAAATAGGCAGCAGAGAGTTTGCATAAATGGGGAGAAATCAGAGTGGGGAAGCGTCACGAGCGGTGTTCCACAGGGGTCAGTGTTGGGCCCCCTGTTGTTCACAATCTACATAAACGACATAGATGAGGGCATAAAGAGCGACATCGGCAAGTTTGCCGATGACACTAAAATAGGCCGTCGAATTCATTCTGACGAGGACATTCGAGCACTCCAGGAAGATTTGAATAGACTGATGCAGTGGTCGGAGAAGTGGCAGATGCAGTTTAATATAGACAAATGCAAAGTTCTAAATGTTGGACAGGACAATAACCATGCCACATATAAACTAAATATTGTAGATCTTAATATTACGGATTGCGAAAAAGATTTAGGAGTTCTGGTTAGCAGTAATCTGAAACCAAGACAACAGTGCATAAGTGTTCGCAATAAAGCTAATAGAATCCTTGGCTTCATATCAAGAAGCATAAATAATAGGAGTCCTCAGGTTGTTCTTCAACTCTATACATCCTTGGTTAGGCCTCATTTAGATTATGCTGCACAGTTTTGGTCACCGTATTACAGAATGGATATAAATTCTCTGGAAAATGTACAAAGGAGGATGACAAAGTTGATCCCATGTATCAGAAACCTTCCCTATGAGGATAGACTAAGGGCCCTGAATCTGCACTCTCTAGAAAGACGTAGAATTAGGGGGGATATGATTGAGGTGTATAAATGGAAGACAGGAATAAATAAAGGGGATGTAAATTGTGTGCTGAAAATATCTAGCCTAGACAGGACTCGCAGCAATGGTTTTAAGTTGGAAAAATTCAGATTCAGGAAGGATATAGGAAAGTACTGGTTTGGTAATAGAGTTGTGGATGAGTGTAACAAACTCCCAAGTACAGTTATAGAGGCCAGAACGTTGTGTAGCTTTAAAAATAGGTTGGATAAATACATGAGTGGATGTGGGTGGGTGTGAGTTGGACCTCAAAGCTTGTGCTACCAGGTCGGTTGCCGTGTTCCTCCCTTAAGTCAATGTGACCTGACCTGACTAGGTTGGGTGCATTGGCTTAAGCCGGAAGGAGACTTGGACCTGCCTCGCATGGGCCAGTAGGCCTTCTGCAGTGTTCCTTCGTTCTTATGTTCTTAATTTGAGTAAACTTGCTGTCTACTATAAATAAAACAGATGTACAACTTAAACAAACTATGATCAATTTCTTCAGTATTAAGTAGTCTGTAAGCCAATAAATTAAGTCTGCTCATAATGCCTAGGCATGATAATGGCTCTCTTTTCACTGCAACTCATTATTGTAATTTCATAATCTCAATGTAAACTTGCAAAGAAATAAAATTTGTTTGTTTATGGTGGAGAAGCGCGTCTGGTGTGGCGTGGGGGGGGGGATGTGATCGAAGGCATACAGGCTCGGTTCAGGGAATTGGAGCACAGATCTAATTCCCTAGATCAAGAGCCCCTCACCAGCATCAAGAACCTCCATTGAGGGGACATTATTACAGCGCGTCTGGTGTGGCGTGGGGGGGGGGGATGTGATCGAAGGCATACAGGCTCGGTTCAGGGAATTGGAGCACAGATCTAATTCCCTAGATCAAGAGCCCCTCACCAGCATCAAGGAACCTCGATTGAGGGGACATTAACTCACATGAGCTCAGTAACAACTGCCTTACCTACAAAATTGTCAAATATCCACAAAATTGTCAGATATCCAGAGAAGAAAATATGTAATTAATGAATGGTACCCCTCCATTAATATGCCCAGCAGAAAGAATAAGTTAGTTTAATATCTTTATTATGCACCCCATACTCATCCTGTGGGCAGCAGTCAAAAGATTACAGAGGTACATAATGGCTCCAGGGACTGGGCCCAAAGTTTTGATAGCTGTACAAGTTACAAAGGTAATGAACTCCAGATAGATCTGGTCACAATCATGACCAAGTTACAAAGGTAATGAATCATCATCACAAAATAAATATGAGTATATATTTTTTTCAGAATTCAAGTCCAATGTTGAATGCCTCACTGCTAAGTCGTCTATTTTTCTTTTGGAGTGCTTCCCTCATACAACATGGTTGGCGGCACCCTCTTACCTTGCAGGACCTGTGGGATGTGATTCCTGGCTATACTGCTACTTCTGCCTATCACACTTGGCAAGGCTCTTTAAACAGGTAAAGTTTTAACTTTGCCGTTTTTTTTTTAAAAAATGTATTGGATTAAGCCGCAGTGGTTCCCAAACTGGGGGTAAATTACCCCCTGGGGGTAATTTAACCATTTTTGGGGGGTAATGGAGGGGTGGCAGAAAAAAAGTTATGAATTCTGAAAATCAAGAAAACAATGCGGTACCCGGTATGAGGATTATTGTTAACTTTGTCATAGTATATAAAGTTGTAAAGTAAACCTATTATAAGTAAGTAATAAAGTTAAACCAAATAACAATAAACATTAAAAACTAATATACAGTATTAGAAAAGAAGAAATATATAGCTAAGTGTGTGGAAACCCAAAAGTATTTTGACAAGTATGCTTCAGGACAAAAGTCACTCAGTAGCCCAGATCGACCTGTCCAGTACGCGTCACTCACTTCCTGAGGCTGCCTCTATTTCACACTGTCAGTTTATCTGTGAGCATCAGCCGAGGTAGACATAAGCTGGTATGTATGTGTACTGCCCTGTGCAGTATATAGTTAGTATTTACCCACTGTTACTGTGAATTTGTAGCTATTATTAATTTTATATATAATGTATGTGTGGTTCTTACGTTTTCAATGGTTTTGCTAGGATTAGCAGAGTATGCGAGGCTGTATACGTTCACGTTTAGCCATATATATCAATAATAACAACATTTTGTGAAAGGGGTAACATGCTTTATGTGGCATGTTAAATTGGGTAACAAGCTGAAAAAGTTTGGGAACCACTGGATTAAGGTAATATCAATAGAATAATTTATCATGGTGGCTTAAAATTTACAATACAGCCTCTCCTCACTTAGCGATGTACTCATTTACCGGACTTACAATAGACTCTGACCAGTATTCATGCCTAAATAATGTATATTAGAGCTGATTTCCTCCTTCCATGGATTTGATACATTATGGACCCAGAAATAGCTAAATTCCTTAGGATCCAAAACCAAACAATCACCAAGCTAACCTGGGAAATGCAGGAACTTAAAACCTCCAGTGACATGTTAACTCAAGAAGTTAAGGAATTACAAACCTCTAACACACACTACTTCTGCAAGATCATAACTCTAGAACATAAACTAAACACACTGGAACAGCTAAACAACACCCACACCCAGTCTGTGGATACCGTCAACAGTCTAAAAGATCAAGTAACCCAACTAAATACCAACATCAATAACAAAAGAGCAAGAGTGGATTTACAAATTACTGGCATTATGAACAATTTCCAAAACCACTTTGAACAACAACAACTATGTGACTCAGTTGTAGTAAATAGCAACCTTCTACCATCAACTGTAACCCAAGAAACATGCAAACAAACCACCTTAAAACTTTTCCAAAACCATCTTCAACTCAGCATACCTAGTGATGATATAAAGGAATATGAAGTGATAGGTTATCAAACTGGGAAGAAATCAGTGATAATAAAGTTCAAGTTTAGCTCACAAAGAAGTGAACTGTTAAGAGCATGCTGCTCTTATAAATCTGTGTATTATGTTCAATGTATAGCTCACAAAAATAAACTGTTAAGAGCATCTATTAATGTGAAAACAGGTGTTTATGTCAACGAGTGCCTGACAAAAATAAGACAAAATCTCCTTTACAGATTAAGAAAGCTATGATATGACCAAAAACCTTACCAGTGGAAAAATTGCTGTGAAGATAGGAATTAACAGGAAAGAGATACTTCTTTTCCACTGCACATGATCTAAAAAAATTCTCAAGTTAAGCTGGCCTAACTGAATCAGAATAAAATGCAGTTTGTACCCACTTCCACAAGTAGTGTTATCTAACCCTAAATTTTTTTTCATCCAATTATTTTCTATAAAACCTAATCTCATTTCCATATTGTCAGTCTGACAGCAGTGACCTCAAGATCACCATCTTGTTTACCCAAAAGATATACATTTCTATTTTTTCTTATTTGTATTTGTAACTATCTTTTGCAGTCCTACATTAATTAACTACTATATTTTTTACTCTTTAGTGTGAGCAGTCTATAATAGTTAATGCAATACAATCCAAAATAGACATGTTTTATAACTCCTCTTTTATTTACTATCTACTGTATAAAGTTAATCATAACATTAGTGTAATAACTGTTAGGTGCTATTGATATAACTAGTCTTAATAGTTTATTATATTTTACTATTACTCATACAGTTTGCTTATGATGTTATTACTTGCTTAAATTTTGTACTATGAGTCAAATCCTACTATTTAAATTTTTATTTAAAACCATTTTTACTATTTATTCATTTTATTTTTTGTATCATTATTACTTGTTTAGTATCTGCGTAATCTTTAGAATAGTTCTTTTGCTACATATACTTTGTACTGCCTTGTATAAGCTCTCATATTACCTCCAGTCCAATAATGATTCCTAATAGTTGTGCAATATTGATTTACTACTTGTCATAGGCATTATATCAACCCTTATTAACAGGTAGTAGTATCCTTTCTGTTATTTATACACTGTTAATCCTGCATTAGTTATATGACTGCAAACATCGATCCTGACATTAACCTCTTACTATTTGACGCACACGATCCTAACAACAATTGCCTTTATGTCAGGCTAAGCGACTACTCAATAACATAACAGTAGGTAGTAGGTTGGTAGACAGCAACCACCCAGGGAAGTACTACCGTCCTGCCAGATGACTGTGAAACAGAAACCTGTAACTGTTTTGCATGATGGTAGGATTGCTGGTTTCTTTTTCTGTCTCATAAACACGCTAGATAACAGGGATATCTTACTACTCCTACTTACACTTTGGTCACACTTCACAGACATGCACATGCATATATATATACATACACCTAGGTTTTTCTCCTTTTTCTAAATAGCTCTTGTTCTTCTTTATTTCTTCTATTGTCCATGGGGAAGTGGAAAAGAATCTTTCCTCCGTAAGCCATGCGTGTCGTATGAGGCGACTAAAATGCCGGGAGCAATGGGCTAGTAACCCCTTCTCCTGTAGACATTTACTAAAAAAGAGAAAAAGAAAAACTTTATAAAACTGGGATGCTTAAATGTGTATGGATGTAGTGCGGATGACAAGAAACAGATGATTGCTGATGTTATGAATGAAAAGAAGTTGGATGTCCTGGCCCTAAGCGAAACAAAGCTGAAGGGGGTAGGGGAGTTTCGGTGGGGGGAAATAAATGGGATTAAATCTGGAGTATCTGAGAGAGTTAGAGCAAAGGAAGGGGTAGCAGTAATGTTGAAGGATCAGTTATGGAAGGAGAAAAGAGAATATGAATGTGTAAATTCAAGAATTATGTGGATTAAAGTAAAGGTTGGATGCGAAAAGTGGGTCATAATAAGCGTGTATGCACCTGGAGAAGAGAGGAATGCAGAGGAGAGAGAGAGATTTTGGGAGATGTTAAGTGAATGTATAGGAGCCTTTGAACCAAGTGAGAGAGTAATTGTGGTAGGGGATCTGAATGCTAAAGTAGGAGAAACTTTTAGAGAGGGTTGTGGTAGGTAAGTTTGGGGTGCCAGGTGTAAATGATAATGGAGCCCTTTGATTGAACTTTGTATAGAAAGGGGTTTAGTTATAGGTAATACATATTTTAAGAAAAAGAGGATAAATAAGTATACAAGATATGATGTAGGGCGAAATGACAGTAGTTTGTTGGATTATGTATTGGTAGATAAAAAACTGTTGAGTAGACTTCAGGATGTACATGTTTATAGAGGGGCCACAGATATATCAGATCACTTTCTAGTTGTAGCTACACTGAGAGTAAAAGGTAGATGGGATACAAGGAGAATAGAAGCATCAGGGAAGAGAGAGGTGAAAGTTTATCAACTAAAAGAGAGGCAGTTAGGGTAAGATATAAACAGCTATTGGAGGATAGATGGGCTAATGAGAGCATAGGCAATGGGGTCGAAGAGGTATGGGGTAGGTTTAAAATGTAGTGTTAGAGTGTTCAGCAGAAGTTTGTGGTTACAGGAAAGTGGGTGCGGGAGGGAAGAGGAGCGATTGGTGGAATGATGATGTAAAGAGAGTAGTAAGGGACAAAAAGTTAGCATATGAGAAGTTTTTACAAAGTAGAAGTGATGCAAGGAGGGAAGAGTATATGGAGAAAAAGAGAGAGGTTAAGAGTGGTGAAGCAATGTAAAAAGAGGAGAAAATGAGAGAGTGGGTGAGATGTTATCAACAAATTTTGTTGATAATAAGAAAAAGTTTTGGAGTGAGATTAACAAGTTGAGGAAGCCTAGGGAACAAATGGATTTGTCATTTAAAAATAGGAGAGGAGAGCTATTAAATGGAGAGTTAGAGGTATCGGGAAGATGGAGGGAATATTTTGAGGAATTATTAAATCTTGATGAAGATAGGGAAGCTGTGATTTTGTGTCTAGGGCAAGGAGGAATAACATCTTGTAGGAGTGAGGAAGAGCCAGTTGTGAGTGTGGGAGAAGTTCATGAGGCCGTGGGTAGAATGAAAAGGGGTAAGGCAGCCGGGATTGATGAAATAAAGATAGAAATGTTAAAAGCAGGTACCTAGGGATTGGCAGAGAGCATGCATAGTTCCTTTGTATAAAGGCAAAGGGGACAAAAGAGAGTGCAAAAATTATAGGGGGATAAGTCTGTTGAGTATACCTGGTAAAGTGTATGGTAGAGTTATTATTGAAAGAATTAAGAGTAAGATGGAGAGTAAGATAGCAGATGAACAAGGAGGTTTTAGGAAAGGTAGGGGGTGTGTAGACCAGGTGTTTACAGTGAAACATATAAATGAACAGTATTTAGATAAGGCTAAAGAGGTTTTTATGGTATTTATGGATTTGTGAAAAGGTGATAGGGTGGATAGGGGGGCAATGTGGCAGATGTTGCAGGTGTATGGTATAGGAGGTAAGTTAATGAAAGCAGTGAAGAGTTTTTACAAGGATGGTGAGGCTCAGGTTAGAGTATGTAGGAAAGAGGGAAATTATTTCCCAGTAAAAGTACAGTGCAACCTCGGCTTACGAACACCCCTC